TTTAATTAACTTGTACAATTTATTAAATAAACTAATTGTCAGTACTCAGATTTAACGCATTATTGTACAGCAATATGAATATTATACTGAATCAGTTAGGAAGTGTACAACTGTTAATTATGCGGATAAAAAGTATATTTACTTTAGGTGAAGCGTTGCCTGCTGTCTGACGACTTGTTGTTTCAGGTATGAACTACAATCTCACATGATGTATCAGCACAATAGACCAATCAGAAAGTTCGATGGAACCATAATTCCAAATGTATGTGTTCTCTTAAGAGAGTTAATTGCAGCATTAGTTGCCTGCCCAATCAGGAAGCAGAATTAGGTTCAGCGGCACTTTATCTCGTGGTCTGATTGGTCACTTGTGATGGTATTGCCGTGGGATGTAAAACTCATGTAACTAATGTACAGTGGGAATACCTCGCAGATCGAGGTACATATGCACTTTGGTTTTTACTGGTGTTCCGTAATTTGCGTTTGGTCGGACAGAAAGGATTAGGTGTTTGTAAGTGTTGTGTCTCGTACAAAAATGACGGAAATGAAATTTGAGTTCCATTAGTTATTCTGCAAAGTGTTTGAGGTGAATAGTACTAAAAGATTACCTCAACCAAACCAGACAAACTATTTTCATTGACATGTATAGTCATTTTTCAATGCTTTATTACTTCTTTGACAGTACATTGAAAAAGGAATGATAAATTTCAAATTATAGTACTGGAAAATATGCGCGTGTGTCAGTTTAGTTTTATGTATAGTAATTATAAATGATTTCCAATGATTTAAGCAATTATTAAGATATTTTTGAATAATTGATAGTTTATATACAATAAAATTCAAGTTTGGATTCTTTCAGATTAATCACTCATTAAAATCCTGCTGCGTTTAAATCGATTCGCTCACTGCAATTCGTAATTGGACTTTTGTTGTACATACAAAAATGTGGAATATTTCTATTATCCACTGTTCCATTTCAGATTGGTTAATCTCCCAGACAATGCAAATGCACTCTACAACACAGAATACTGCAAGCTGAGACGGTGTTGTTTCTTGCTGAATAACTTGACCCAACGTTTTTGGTCAGAAATGTAACCGCATTTCAAATTTTTCGACGAATTGGACAATTTTCCCAGTAACAGCGAACACTTAATGTCACTCGTGGCATCGATTTCCCCCTTCTCGACCGCCTGCACGCGTCGAAATCTCCTGGTCATTTCTGGTCAGAACAAGCGCCCCCATCCCGATAACCGGGTTTACTCTCGGTCGACGATTCGAGGTACGGCGGCGGCTTACATTTTGTGTGCTGCTTCGTGTCTGTTCAACAAATCTCGTAGTTAAGTCACCAGGAAAAGGTCGGGCATCGGACTGGGAGAGGAGCGGATTTGAAGGCACATCTTCAAACCGTTCACATGATGTCACATTGCACTTGATTGATGCCAAACACCGGTTTCCACTTTGGCTAAGTATCTTTTATTTCAAATCTTTCAAGGCATCGTCTGTATTACAGGCTGCATCCGAATCTCTTGCCTGTAGGTCTAGGTCTTCCCTCCATTGGAAATGCGTGGAGAGGCGTAGACAATAGACCTAGCCGTAGCTCTGGAAGCCCGTTTCGGACACGGCCATAGTTCTCGATAACTTGATATCACAGCAGATACTTTTGCTGCCAAGCCGTTAAAAAGTAGAACGGATTCAGTCAAACTGTGGCAAATTTGCCGCAACGACTTTGTCAAGTTCGCTTTGGATTCGTCGTCGACAGTGAGTCAGTATTTTGCCTTATAATCCTGGAGGCCCACTTTAGTACGCTGCTGTTTCCTTGACATGGAACTGAAGGGCGTATGATATAGGCTTACCATCGTATTAGCTAGATACAACTTGTCAGCTTAAAAACAAGGCCTGTATGCGCGCCAACAACCAGCATGGAAACTCGTACGTGAATTTTGCAGGCCTTGTAATCCTAATGCCTTCCCTGTGCCGCGTTTATTGATGAGTCAGGATCGCGTTCCTGCATTGGTTAACGTGTTTACACCACGCACGCTGAGTCACACCGAGGAACATGCTATGTTGGTTATTCATGGCCCTATCAGAGTGATTGCCTGAGTTTCCCCTTAATCAGCCAACGCAAAAAACGCAGATTCTTTCCTTCCTCCATGATTCATACTATTAAGCTCCGAACTCCAACGTGTATAAATCATTTCCACAGCTAACGAAGAGGTACCATATTTAAATCCCGGTACACCGCAACACCCACCCTATCTCTTGATAATTCACCCCAAGGAGAAGCACCACATGGTGATGAGGTTGTGAATGATAATCTGTAATCACAGCACGCGGATGAAATGACCCACTCATCCACCTCTTATCACACAGCCAGTGTTATTTTTTGCTCCATGATGTAGGTTAACCGTGTTAGGGTGACGCTGTTGTTGCGTGGCATTGAACCTGTGAAGTGTTCTGGGGAGTGTCGTATGGCGAGCGTGCGTACTGTACCATGGCCACGGACCGATCGGATCATCTCCCCCCCCCCAATGCTGCGCACTGGATTTGCATTTTTAAACTGCTCGAGTAACGGGATGATGGAATATTGAAGGTCGTAATTCATATATCTTGTGTAAGCGAAAGGGAAACGACATTTGACACCATAAAAATATTTGCCGGAAATTTTGCTCGAGTTGGAACGTGTTCAACTTTTGCGCATTTGCAGCACTGATTTTGATGTGAGATACACCATTTTCCGTTCGGGGGCGCTTTCGCGTAAAGAGTGAACCGGCCTCTACGCGGACAGTCTCTGTAAGGAATGGAACTTGGAAATCACGATAACCCCACGTCAAGTTTCAAGGTATATTTACAGTGCATGATATACCCATGGTAAGCAGCCGGACGTTTTGTCCATGGCAAAGTTTGTGCTCGAACTGGTCGGCTTCGGGACCTCATCTTACCCTTGTGTCCAGCATAAGATGGCCTCACATTGGTCAAGCTGTCGCACGGCCTTCAGGGAACATAATCTTGCACGGCAAAGATATTTTGTGTGTCGTTAGTGGCATAAAGTCGTTGAGATAATACAACACGTACGTGAGAAATCATTCAAGCAGAGGGCCCTTGTGGACTTTTTCAATTTTTTTCCCCGGCACCTATTCATGGCTTCAATTTCCTTGATAACATTTTGGCCATCAATCGCATTCGATTCCCCCTTGCGGGAGCGGTACAACTTGACACGATGTCTGTGGTCGGTAGACCTCACTTGGCCGCGATGCCGCACGTACCAACGCAATTTGCCCCAACGTGCTTCCAGCACGACACTGAACGCCTTTACACCACATTGACTGGAGCCTCCCTTTTCCCCATGGCCTCAGTGCGAGGAAGCCGTTGGTTTGGCAGCTGTCGGGCGCTGCATCACGGTTCATCTTGACGTTCCTTCGGGGATGAAATGCTTTTAAAAATTTCCCTTCGAAGCTTCCTCTTGGACCGCTCTTGCCCCCTGCTCTTAGGAAACGGATTTGTCGGTGATTCCTTGGTCTTGCATTCATTATTGTTCCTGGCGTAACAGTTTCTCCGAAATTGTTAACCCCTTTTTTCCCGACATATAGTTTGCTCGGTGGAAATTGCTGACTTTGTACATGATGAATAACCACCCGACGGCTGCGGCAGTAGCGCTTAATGGAAACTAATAGCTTCCGTACCGGAAAGGTTTACTGTCGCCATCAGGGCTATATTTTTCTAAATAGATTAAGATGTTACGAATTTGACAGGAGCTTTTTTACCGTGTAGGCCTATAACAACTAGCACAAGTCCCACAAAAGGTGTTTTGCTTCGCAGTAGACCCTTACCCGAAGAGGAATTGTTTATTTTCATCATCATTTAGCATTCCGTTTTTGCAATAATAGTATGATTATGTGAGCTGTGTCGCGGTGTTGAAGAGACTGTTGCATGGAAAATATGTGTCTTGTCGCTGATTGTTATATTGGATTGATGATAATTGTTTCGTAGTTCCTTGTTTGCGTTTCCCGAGGTTTGCTTGCATTGAGTGTCTTCGATAGAAAAAAAATGTGCGGTCATTTTCACCTAAAAGGTTCATATTGCACATGAATATGACGAAGATATTAGAATTAATGCCGTGTCAGTCTGTATATTATTAATGAAATTTTGAACTCTAGAGCTCTGTATTGAAAAGCCGTTAAGCAGAAATACAAGCCTTTAAGCGGAAATACAAGTCCTTAAGCAGAAATACAAGCCCTTAAGCAGAAATACAAGCTCGAAAATTAATGTTACAATCTTGTTACACCTATTTCTTATAAATACATACAAGAATTGATAGAAGGAATCTAATGCAATATAAATTTAATGCAGTTTTGTAATATAAATATATACCTAAAATGTCTTTTAACAGGAATTTAGTGCCCGGTAGAGTGAGACCAAAACAATGAACAAAATTCACGTGCGAGGAAATTTTTCCCGATAAACCTTGTGTCGAAAACTATAACGCGCAGTGCGTGGAGGAAACAAAAATAATGCAATAAAATAATATAAAGCCCTCCCTATTATATTGTCTGTCGAAAAGGAAATTGCATTTTCACGCTCGAGCACCGCTGTCACCACCGATGTAATAAATTGCACATGTTGGAATATATTATAGACGTGTCCATGTGTGAGAAAGATTGAACTGTCAAGTGCACTTTACCTCATTTTACTGCGAAATATGGCTGCTGATATACGTGACAATTTTTTTTTCAATTTATATTATTCTACATAAAAAGCAAGCATAATTCCCGGTAATAAATCCATTCCCGAGCCTGCTCTGGTGTTTACGAAAGCTGTGGCATTATTTCTGGCAATTCTTTTTTTAGGTTCATGGTTTGTCTCAATTCTGCAGAACTTGTGAAGATTTAGGAATTCTTGAATGGGAATGATTTATGGCATTGTCCAAATCTTGATTAATTCCGCCGATTGCCTATAAATTCAATGGCAGAAGCCTCGCAGAGTCCTCTCAAACACCCCTAGTCACACTGGCCACATGCTACTGCGAGTGCAGCGCATCCGACAGTAGAGGGCAGTATATACCACGCACCGAAATTCAGAGCGCATTGATTGGGTGGAAGTGACAGGGACTATAGAGTCCGGCCCAAGCATCACTAACACGCTGGTGAGAAGCAGCTGTACATGTATGTACAGGGCTCGGCAGGTAAAGCGATAGCCAGTTGGGAGATATACCTGGACGGTGTAGCGTACGATTTAATGGCTCGGCCGTGCCTGGTTAAGTGCGACTCGTAATGAAAATTCGTATCTGGTTGGTCGTGTCGGAACTGAGATGCCGGTATAGAGAAGCGAGGCGATCTCCACAGGTACATTTCTCATTTTATTTTTCAGTTTTGGACTGCTGAAGAATTATCGACGTCTGCTGAAGACAGTACAAGTGACATGCACACCGGTCCGCACGTCCACGGGGTAGTTAAAATCCCCAGATGAGCTGGCACATCGGCCCAGTCTTAATCGACCGTCCGCCCGTGCCCCCTGTTTGCAGTACAGTAGCCTGTGTTATGTTACTATATCGTGAAACTTTATTTGACTGACGCTGACGGTGTGCGTGTCGTACAGGTAACACGCGAAATCCGAGATCTAACTACATAATTATTCACCGTGTTTCATTGTGTCCAGATGGTGATTTGGGTGACGTTGATCGGAACAGTACAATTGCATGATAGGCTGAGCCAAAGATACATAAAGAGAAAAACATAAAAGTGTATCAAAAGACCAGACACTTCCTCGTATCAACCTCCTCTTTCATGTCCATGCCGCTACTGCCTCCGGGGAATTCTTTTAGACCAAAGAGGGAGAGAGAGAGAGATAGCGGATATTATCTGCGACCCAGTCGCCCTATCGCGCATCGCCATCGAAGCCCGAAAAGAGAGGCAGACACTGACTCATGGCAGTGTTTGGCTGGTAAACCGGAACGGATGACTGCAGGACGCAGTGCTTGTGAGTCAGTCGGCCGTCTGCCTCAGCCCTCATTAGGCTCGCGGAAGGAGTCCTGAAGTTCCTGCAGTTTGCTAACGGTACCAGGGCAATAACCGAGTTCAGATGATCATTGCAAACATTATTAGAGAGGTCGTCAAGAACAGTTAACGACGGCATGCTTTCCGTTCGCGTACGTTTACATGTAAGTTGCTGAGCGATAGAAAATGAGTCTCGATTCGATGGACGGAGACTAATTGGAGTCTAGAGGAAACATTGACATAAGTACGGAATATTCTGTGGTCCAGCGGTGGACACACGGCGCGCAGTCGACAATTTCAGTCATGTTTGGACTAGCCGTGGCGTCAGGAATTAGACTGTAAGCATCACACACTCAGCTTTAAATCACCAGACTGTATTAGGCAATGTGATTGGTCAAATCTACCCTGCACGACTGAAATGCTCGGTTATAAAAGCGTCATCGCGCGTTTGCATTGCCCCCAAACCTCGCACGGCACATCAGTCTGAGATTCGGTGCAGGTTTGTGTACTCTCATAAAGACTGATATTCACAACTTCCAAGACTACCCAACAGGTAGATCACAATGGCTAGTGGTGTTGAGAGTTTGGTAACAATCGGTGGCACCGGCAAACCCTACGTGAACATGGAGTCTGGAAACTCATCAGTTCAAGACGATGACTTCTGGGAAAAAGTACTCACGGACAAACGGCTACAGAGGTACGACGCGGTGGAAGTCGCCATTGTCACTGCTGTCATGCCGTGTATCATGGTCGTCGGATTGGTAACCAACTTTACTTTCCTATTCGTCATGTACCGTGTAGCCTGGATGAGGACCAACGTGAACGCTTACCTCTTCAACCTCGCCATTGCCGACATTTTGGTCCTGACCCTGGGGGTCGGGGACAAGTTGTGGCACTATATGGAGACGCCATTCATGTTGGACGAGGCGTTCCGTGGGACCGTCGGCTGCGTCCTGATCGATCTCCTGCTGGACTCCGTCTATTTCACCGGGCTGTTCCTCGTCACCCTGGTGTCCTTGCATCGTTTCAACGCCGTCTGCCGTCCGCACTCAGGCAGCCACCAGCAGAACAAAGCCAGTACCAGGAGATGGATCGCCGGGGCCTGGCTGGGAGGGATCCTCCTGGCCAGCTCTCTCGTTCCCAGCTACTGCGTCCTGACGTTGTACGACATCCCCGCCTGGCCGGACACCCCCAAGTACAGCCAGCTCCCACAGGTGATCGGCTTCTGCCAACCCATCGAGGACTGGATGCCCACCGCGGTCAACCTGGTCCAAACTGTGCCTTTCTTCGTGGCCATGACTGCCAACACCTTAATGTACATACGAATCATCATGTCCCTGAATCACATTGTGGCCAAGGGGAGTGAATTTGGCTGCAAGGACGTCAACGAACGCATACGCAACAGGGTCACCAAGATGTTGGTTGCTAACGGTTGCGTCTTCTTCATGTGCTTGTTCCCTTTTGAGCTAACCTCCCTGCTGTCCGTGTCCGGGGGCGTGGAAATCAATGTAGCCTGGTCACACTGTGTCCGCATGTTGCTGTACATCAATTCCACCGTTAACCCTATCATCTATGGCGTAACCAACTCCAAGTATCGCAAAGCGTATGCTCTTGCCTACGCCTGCTACAAGTCAAAATCCTCGGACATGGTAAAGTACGAACTGAGTATACCTTTAAATCGAATGAAAGATCGGCCCACCACAGCGGTAACCGATTGCAGGGTACGCGGAGGAGATTCGTAGTGGGGAGAAACATGTAAATATTTAGTCAGAAGTAATTTCGTCGAAATTACCGTAAATTAAGCCCTGTCAGAGTGGTTCGTCCTGCCACTCAGTTTTGGTAAAGTTAATACGAAAGACTCCTTACGGTTATCATCGGGAATTAGAACTGTCTGGGATGATAACTTTTAATTAGGACCTTAGACATTTTTGTCTACGGAGGGTTGGCAGTTAAATCTCTCCGTATTTAAATTAATGAAGATAGCATGCTGTTGACATGTGCCATTATGTATCGCTAACTCAGTCGGTACTGGAATTCTGTTCCGTTTGTTTCACGTCTCAGTCTAGGTTTAGATATATTTTACCAAAGGTATAAAATGGTTAACTTCCCAAGTTAGAAAGGGGAAAAAAGGAAATTTTTGTTTGTTAAGCTAGTTTTTGTTTTCATTTTCTCTTTTGACATGTAGACCATAACTCCAGAAAAGTACTTATTAACTGACGACACTGGGTTGCAGCGTTGTCAAAATTTCTGAGTCGATGCTGAGCTAACGGCAACCTCACTTTGAACTCTCCCACTCGTGAAGGATCGTGACTCGCGGTGTAAATCACATATTTACCCTTACAAGTTTTAATGGCAAGACGCTTCAACCCACGAGCGGTTGAATGCCTACTGCTCAGGGCATGCAGCGGGCAAGGGGCGGCCCCAGTCAGCCAGGAAGTATTTATTAAACCTCTCAACTTTTTTAGAGTCTGCACTTCCAAACTGATCACTGATCAAGGTCTGTGGGAAGAAGTCATGGGAGGACGCGCTTACGAATTTGCGAAATGTGTTTAATAGGTCACACACGAATACTAGAGATTCTAAAATCTACGTGCATGTAGGTAGTAAGTCACGTTTGTGTGTTATATCATGGTTAATCAGAGCTTTCAAAAATGGTAATTGTCATTTTTAGGTCAGAGTTATAGGTGTGACTGGAATGAGCCATGTCAACGAGTACTTTGACAATTGTTAGTATAATCTACGTCCAGTGCACTTAGTGACGGTGATACGCGCCCATGTGTTCCTGTGTAAAGATGTTTCATGTAATTTTTGGGAGGACAGTGGGTGGGGATGAGTACATATTTGTTGGTCTGGTCTCTCTTGGTGCTTGTTTGTTTGCTTATTTGTTTTTTCGGGGGTGGGGTTGTTCTTATTCTGTTCTCAAGTGCGTAATGTACACCATGGCTGTAAAGAGTAGCGATCGGTTATGATGTTGGCATATGTGTATACACAAAGTTGCGGCACATTTTCAAACACTGATAAAGATGAATGTATGGTTTGACTCAAGCAACCAGTAACAGGTGGTGGACTGACAGGCAGGGATATGTGTCCGGACCGCCTACCGACATGTTCGCACGTATCATGGACACGGACAGGTTGGTTGACCGACAAGTTCTCGCAATGCTGGGAAGCCTCTTGGCGTTGGACTGCACCTCGCGGACATGTACCCAGAATCACAGTGACGTCATACTGTACTACCGTTTATGAAAACTAGACGGGCGGGTAGGCAAAAATGTCTGAGGAAAGGTTTGCGTGAAATTATTTCACTCATTATCTCAGGTCTCTATAGGCCACGGTTGCAGAGAAATCTAGTGTGATGGATTGTACAATAGTAAACAAACAAACAGACCTGATTGCAAGACACCGACTTTCATTTTTGACGGTGCATGCTTCCGCTCAAGTAGTTAGATCGTGGGATAGAACGGGCCTTGATCATGAGTTACCCAGTTAGCCAGGTCAAGTTTGGTCTGTTCGTTTGGTTGATGTGTGATGGTAAACAAATTGCTAGTGACGACTATCTGGGGATCATTTGCCCCGTAGACGCGGACAGAAAACGACCTTGATTCAACCAGACGTGCCCCAGTCGATCCCTCCCAAGTGTAATAGCAGGGGGTTCATCGAATCAACGATGCCATGGGGATGAAAACAGTAACTCACGTGGAATAATTATGAACTCCAAAAACGCATCAAGCTTAATGTCATGGTGTACAGTGCGTGCAGGCTATACAAAAGTTGTGTTGATGTTTTATACTCAAGGGTCTATTTATGAATAAACGGAATTGTAATAAGTGGTATTAAACGTCTGATACACATGCTGGACTGTTCCATTTCTGGATAAAGTGATTCGATTTTATTTTATTTTGATAGTACTTTTTAGAATACATATAGTTCTCGGTGAGAATCTTCGTACCACGATATATAGTTTCCTAGATCGTATCTTATTTGTATCTAGCGTATATCGGTATTGTGAATAATTGAAAAGTGTAGTAAAACTATTATACAGTCTGGATAGTAGTCGATATTATGATAATTGTTAAAGTACAGAAACGGCCGTTTATCAATTACAATGACCCACTGCACGACATCTTTCCTGCTTAATTTAGTTTTGAGTTGTCAGCTTGCGGGGCTAGGCCTGTGTATTACACGCCTATGCGCCATTTTTTGTTCAGTTACAAGTTACCATTGAGGCATTTTTTTTCTGTAGAGCTCATGTGAAATACATTGGGCTCTCGTTTCTTGCCAAATTTGTGCCATCTTGTGTAGTTGGGGTTGATTTCCCCAGAGCATGTTAACCGGGAAACACAAACGCCATCAGGTTTCCTGGCGTTTGGGGAAAACTGGGGGGGGGGGCAACAGTCTCCGGATGCACCAAAAGAAAAGTATGCGAAACGAGAGGGAAATGCAAAAATCATGCAAAGTCATGACGTCGGTTGACTTGAAGTACGACCTTGCACGCTGCGCCCCTGCCGCTGTGTTCCTTTCTCTGTATTTTGTATTTTGAGCAGTGTCTGTATTCACTCTCTGGAGAGGCGGTTGCTGGAATTGACCAAACTTGTATTAATAATGAGTGCCCTATGAAATCTAACTGACTGATGTCAGAAGAGTCACAGGGAGGGTAAAACTCAATTAATTAGGAGCCGCTAATGGACTCTTTATCAAATTACACGCAGTCTTCGGTCCCACGTCAAAGAATCGAGACTAATTCACTTTTGGGCGGTAAACACGATGCAAGAATTGGATTTGCATTCAAAAAGGCTTTACTGCATTAAACATGAACACTAAAAAAAGCTACATGCAACGTCAACTTTGTACGGGGGTAAACCAAGATTGTCGAAGATTTATTGTCTGTTGGGAAATAGATATTTTCATTCGTCTTAATGTTATGGATCTAACCGGTAAATATAGCGCTTGTCATACAAAATTTGGAAAGCTACTTCAATTTCTTTGCCAAATCTCGTTACCCATATGGTGCGAAATTCGATTGCGAATTTGCACCACCAAATTTCATTACGGGTGCGTTTGAGTATAGTTTAACCGGATAGACTAGGGTTAAGGGAGATGCAGGCTGGATACTCGAACGCGCCAAAAGCCTTTGGCGCAACACAAGTAAATGTCAAAGGTCACACACTTCCGATTGGCGAACCGTGGCTGGCCATCAGCACACAAAAATAAGAAACAAAGGAACAAAATGTTGAAAAGAGTCTTGGACTGCGTTTGAATCACTTCATTGCAAATATGTTGGGTTTTTTAAACGTGATGTGCCTGTATTAGTATTCGTCCAAAAGATTACATATCTATATTAATGACATTAACATTTCAACTTTCCTTGAGAGAAACTAACAAACTAAATCACCAATCTCAATAACAAAAGAAAAATTTGCTTTTTGATTTATATACCAACGTAATCGACGAACAAGACGAAAATACATAGCAAGAATTAGAGTACTGTAAATGACGTAATAAACTTGGAGACATAGAAATCCTTAATGGTGCTAATTCGAAATCAAATCCCATAAATAAGCCCATAACACAATATGAATTATTAAAGAAGTAAAAGGCAAAAGATTGTTAATGGCTGACATGAACAATTAACCTTTCCTCTAAAGAAACGGTAGAGAACAAATCACTGAAATGGATAACAAAAGACTAAATTGCTTCTTCAATACCATCATAACTGGCACACAAGGATGCCGAATCAAGGTATGAAGCGAGTATATAATACTGCAGTGGTGAATAACATTGCAGAAAAATTAGGATGGAAGTAATTCAAAATAAGATTCCTTAAGTTTAAGCGCAACGGGACGAAATGGTCATCGAATATGATATTGGCCTTGAATTTTACAAGGAAAACCCTTTTATGTGTGACCCATTTTGTTCAGGTGGCAATCTGGCAGTACTGAATTAAATTCTCCTCTGTAATTTTTCTTCCACGTTTGAACCATTTTGATGTGGGCTTTCTCGGTCAATTTCAGCAACTGATGAGCAGCTAATTGAATTTTCTTGGGCTTCATTTCAAGCCATCCTCTCCAGATTTAAGTGTGTTACAAATTTAGAACTCGGGCATTCATTTCCGTTTTGATGCATTCGAATTCCTTAAGCAGCGGTTTTAATTTGGCTTTATCGTCGTTTTTTTCATGATGTACAATTATCTTTCAATTTAGCAAAGCTGGCTCGACTCGAGATTTCTGTTGATTTGTTTTCAATTTCCAAAAGTTGCAATCGATTTCACTAAAAGTGTGATAAACAAAATGCAAACAAACAGAAAAACAAGTTGATTAAACGAAACAACTGTTTTGTATCTTCACTTTAAGTGAGGAAAATCTTTTCTTCCTGATTCATTTTTATGTTTCCCTGAATTTGATATGAGCCTATATTTTTCATTTATCTCTTTTGTTTTGGGGGATCTTAATTAGGCTAACGAACCAAGGCCTAATTTGCGTTTGTGAAACAATAATGTTTGTTATTTTTGGGGTGTTTTTTATGTTTTTAGCTCAGGTTTCTTTTTTATATAGGTTCTTCCTCAACCATCAATCTGTTGGTGTGTCAGACATCTTGGCATATATATTTTCGTATGGTTATACGACTGCATGCACTTCACTTAGGTGATGGCATCTATTCTCTGAATGGATTCCTATTTTATAGATTGCACAAATGACAGATGCCTGCCCAATAATGATTTTGAATGACCACACACATGCCTCGAAAAGCTTCTGCAAAATTTGAATGCCATTCTTTTAAATGTTAAATTTGATTGCTATTTTTGTTAAATCGAATGACACATCAGTACCCTGGCCGTGTCATCAAATGAAAACAAATGACTATTTGCATCAGCATTCAATTGTGCCCGAAATAGAATAACCAAGTGATTAAATTTTGCTGCTAAGTTGTCATAATTAACCGAGATAACCTATTAGGTACCCGCAAAATGTGCAACGAAAAGGCGTGAAAGGCACTGTGTCTGTCAGTGAAGCGGTTTAATAACCTTCTGTATCGTGTGCACGATTGAAATTAATGATTTCGGTGAGACAGTGCCACAGAAACGCCAGTCCGTCCGTGAGCGTTCAGCGGCAAAATAATGGTCTTCGGTTGTCACGCCGAAATGTAATAAACAAAATGGAGAATAAAAGCCCCAAGCTCTGTACACGTGCACTGACATTCCTGCCTCCAGCGAACCCAAATATGCCTGTTGTCTGTTGATTGATGGTGTAGTGAACAGAACGACTGTCGAAAATAAAACATAAAACACGCTTTTTTGAATATCATATTTATTGTAGGATCTCTTTTGTTGATGTAGGCCTGTTGCGGTTTATTTTACTTCTGTATAGACCTGCATTATTCTCAGCAAGCTGTGTATTAAAATTCTTCGGCGATGACCATTTTGTCTTATGTTGTAGCCAATGCTTCCATTATAATTATTTTTGCTCACTAAACATTGATTTTGAAATGTGATTGTCGTGAAAAATATTGCAAAACCCTCAATTTGTAATGTTGTAATATTCCGTGTATGCACTAGTACGTTTTGTAAATATTATCTTAGATTCCTTCTACGAACTTTTTCCTTTGGGGAAGAGCGGTATCACTCACCATGGAAATCTGGACTGGAAAACTACACCGGGCGGTATTAAGCCCAATCCTTTGTGCTTTGGATACTATTTCAAAATTCCCTAAACTTATTTTTTCCTCGCCTTTCTGCTTCGGATAAAATTTCCGCATCTATTGAACTAATTTTCCCCCGCTCCAGTGGTTGTGGCATGGCTTGGTGCTGTTTCTGTTTGCGTCGTGATCACTTTGGTACGATTTTCCCACACAGTCCGTGTGGGCATATACCAAGTGTGCATAGGATCCTCTGCTGCTTTCCCTCCTTGGCTCTTCGTTTCAAGCATTTTAGTCAGTCTCGTTTTATTGACTTGACATTATTGGACTAGTATGAGGCGGATGCAAAAATCCGGGAATGAATTATATTCAGACAGATTTCGAAAAGGAATGTTGGTCGTTCCAAAAGTTGTACAGTATCTGAAAATAAATTGTCTGTTATGGTGTCGTTGCAATGTGGAGCCATGCACAGTCTTTTCTTTTTTCAAACTGAAATAAAAATCTGCTTCTTTTTAAAGGAATGAATATTTTTGCTTCGCATTCCATTGTCAACCATTCGCTTCCACTCCCATATTGCACCTTTTATATTTCACTTTATAAAGCCAACTTACAAAGCCCCGGCCTCTTTTATTGGCATATCCAGGGGAATGAAGGCCACGCCTTTTGAAGGGGCATTTGTGGCTTTTGGAAATACAGTGAGTGAAAAGCAATTTGGGGTGACCTTTTTCATGTCTCTTTCTTCCCAAAGCGTGTAGAAAGCCCCAAAAGGTCTCCACCTCATCCCCTCGTGATTTCAAAAAGGAGAATGAACATGTCTTATTTTAGAAATAGTCTGCCAGTCTTGTCTACTACAACGTCAAGACAGCCACTTCTTTTTTTTCTTTCAATTTCAATTCCAAATTTTATGGAAAAAATTGTAGGAATTAGCCCAGCTTCGCTTCCTCAGCTGGCCCTACGTTAAGAGATCGCATTCCATTGTTTATTGTGTTTATTGCATAGGCCCTATAAGGAGAATCCCCCCCCCGGCCACATGCGCGCATGTGCATTTGTAGGGAAGACAAAGCCATCACTGGAGAGCGTGCATGAACTGCCCATTTCATTGCCGCCGAGCCAAAATTGGATGGTATGCGACTGACTTTTTTTTATGAGAGCGCGCTCGATACCATATGCCGTCTAGACACGGAGCACTAGGGCAGCAGCAATTACACCCTTTCCGTGAATCCACCAAATTGAAAATAAATGCAGCAATGAAACATTAATCAGAGGCAATGAAACATTAATCAGCGCCAATTTCTGAGCGGATATTTGGAATAGTTCAGTGCCGAGTCAGTGGTTGAGCGTGTGAACTTAGATGTAGTTTCCACGCTGGCAACGTAGCATAATCTTTAGCTGCCTGGAATACAAACATGAGGTTGTTGTGTACCAAAGAACAAAATTCCGTCTCTCTTTTCGCTCTTGAGTCTCTCTGAAAGGCGTGTAATTAAAAACCATGTGGTGCTTAATCCCTGTTTTTTTTCTGCATGGAACCAGACGAGGACTCATCACCATTCAAGTCTAATCTTTCCTCGGCTTTGAGTTTCAGAGGTCTTATTAACGCAACAGCAATAAGGTGTAGCTGACTACAAAGTTCATGCTCCTGAGGATAAAGGCTAGACTTGCCATAAAATGGAGAGGGACCAAAATAAACCAAAATTTCTTCGTCATGAATACTTTAAGAGGGGAAGTGGTGCCGGGAGCTACTGAAGACTATGCCTTTCTACGGTATGCTTTACCGGCAGCATGTCTTCCGGCAAGAAGTCTTGTAAGTCGGGAAATTTTTGAATGGGGCTATGGCATTCATAGACTCGAATACCGGAAGGGAGGCTGCCTACAAACTGCCTTATGGATCCATACAATTCTTGTCCAGATTTAAAACTCATATTTCTTTTCGAAAGCACTCTAATGTTGAGACTATGGCACACCAGGGTTCACTCTCAAAATGTTATATTTTTTGGAGGGAGCAGTGCGTCCCAGTGCAGTTATTATTACATCTTAGATTTGTGTGATCATCATTGATTTTCATTTATTTCCGCTGGCAATTTTGAAGGGTAAGCGGGAAGGTTATATGATAATGAGTGAATCATGGAGGACAAACAGATGAATGCAGTGTGACTCATTACTGCGGAAGAGTTGAATAAGCCTATTAAAACTCCGTCAACACAATGAGGTTGGTCAACTTTTAGTCACACCTTCGGGATAATTTATTCTGCTCTGTTCTTCATTCAAGCAGCCAAAGAATGAGAACCGGTTTTCCTGCAGCTAGAAGTCTGCATGCTCAGTGCCACGCAGTTTCGTTCCAGCTTTTACTTTTTAAAGACAAACGACGGTTGAATGAGGTGTTCATTCACCAAAACGGTCAATTCAATTCCAAAGATTATTCATCTCTTGAACCGCACCTCACTTTGGATTCACCGTAAGTCTGTCATGACAAAGCCGCGGCTTTGTTTGCCCACCGAAGTCAGGCGTTATCAGTATTTCCTCGCGAAGTCATAAACCCCCTCGCGGACTGTTTACCTCTGGAACATATACATGTGACGTGTAATTATTTCATACCGTGTGTCATACAGCGCCGGTCCTTGGCTCATATGAAACGATGGCCTCCACCTTTCTGAGATATTGATGACCAGAACAAAGCCAGATAATGATTTTTTTCCATCTTAAACACAATCCACCATGTAACACGATCGAGTTGGCTGCATGTCTGGTAAATGTCGGCCTCGCTATAACAAATATTGACAGCATGCAACGGTGCTTTTACTTTTTATAGTACACCGAACCTTATTCATGGTCACGAATGGTCCTCTAAAAAAGGACAAAGTTTGTTACTCTTTCTCTGACGTTGAAACGATGACTAAGACCTATATGCAATGAGTTACTTGATTGCTGTCATCCCAGTACTTGAGTTTCAACGGAAAGTTTCTTTGACACAGATGTTTGATATAAAGCAGTTAAATACAATATCTCAGTTTCGCTCTCTCAAATATTGTAAAGAGACACACGATCCTTGCGCAATTTAAAAATGAAATAGCTGGTTCTGCTGGTTGGAAGGTCGTATTTTTAAACACAGTGTTGTTCCTTACCTTCAGTCATTGTCCGTTTAGAAAAAAAGATAGCATTGCATTTCTTGGCAAAGAAAAAGGGCCCTAAAGGTAAAGCATTCTGGGAGTGGCACGGCGCAGTCAGGTCGACTGTGTTTCAAATCCGTATATTTGACGTGGCAAATTTTCCCGCTAAAAATATCACATAACAAATAGACGCTCTCAATTATTTGCATCTGTTGGCAAAATGATATTCCAGTATCGATTGCTGATGACCCGTTTGCTTATGAAAGAGGTTTGGCATGGCGGAACTATAGAACATAATTTCCAGTGGGCTTTTAAGGGAATAAAAATTTGATATTTTAAAATACAACCTTTGTAGAATATAGTCGAGGTTGAAGCCAATTTTCCGGAGGGGGCTATGCGCTTTGGGACGGAAAGGGCACAAATATTTTTGATCGTCTCTGATATTTACAGACCAAAAATGGCTTCTCTTTGGAAGCGGGCGGGGCTTTAGTTGGGAGCCCTTAGCTCACACATGTTTATGCCATGTCAATTAACGTCATTATTTTGCTTTGTAAACAGCCCAACCTTGCATCAAAAAAAAGCAAACGGAGTGCAATTATAGCTGTGGGTGGAAAGTCGCGCCTGAAAGGGTTATTGCCAACCAATTCACACAGAATACCATGAGATATGGCTATATGGAGACGCTGGCTATAGTGGCTACCTCAGGCCCGGTTTAGTCCCGCTCTCGGCCCAAAAATTCGGGTGCAGTTTCGGCCTGGATTGGGTATGAATGCCCAAAAGTGATATCGAAGGTGAGAGTTCCCAAGGTGTCTTTATGCCATGTCAGAGACATAACACGAGGTAGAAATTCAGATGACGTCACAAAGTACTTTCATTTGAACTGATGTTGGAACGAGGTATACATCCAACCTTGCTACACGTTTTTCTCATTTGTCCACACTGCCTGTAAGTGCACTGTTACTTTTTCTAAAATTCTCGCCAGAGTGATTTTTTTTTTGCAATAGTCAGTTTCTTTTGTATAACACTCACGCCAATTCAAACCGTCGAAATTTTTACTTACATTTGCAAACAAAACCCGAATCTTCACCATGAGAACACGCCACCGGCTACTTCAGTTGGAACCCGCTTCACCTCAAAGAAAGAAATATGCAAATTAAGCGCTGCAGCACCTGTTGAATTGAGTGACAAAAATGCACAGTATGTGGCTCACGCGCTTCATTAAAATGTGCTCGCGCAGGCTTGTATGTGCAAATGGCTTTGGAGGAAGAGACGACGTAGCTGTACTTGCAGACAACAATCGACAAAACTTGGAATGGATTTTGCTTTTCAAGAAAGCAACGTTGGACTTCAGCAGCACTGCCTGTACATCCTCAGAGTCGCTTGGACCACTGAGCTACAAACTCTATGCTTGGACTGACGGAAGGAGAATTTTGCACTAGTGGAACTGGCAGTGGGAGAACACAGCTGTGCAGTAAGTAAGCCTTGTATGTTTTGAGGCTCGTATGCAGAATTGGCCTGGTTTCAAAAAGCCCGCCATTTTGTCGAGACGATTTATTACACGTCAGGTCGAGTTCTACTGATAGGCCTATGTATGAACTTTGACCGCCTTGCTTGCATAGTCAGATTCGCGAGTGTAGCTGTTTTGCGTGAAACCAAATGATCATTATCATCTGTTTAATTGGGGCTCATGTTTGCTTAGAGATCTATACTTTAGACCATGATGAGCGCACACGGACGCGCGAACACCATACAGACGGGTCAACAATAAATGTCTTCAACTTCCAAAACTAATCAGGATTTCCCATTTTCTGGTAACTTCCACGAAAGTACTCCTCAATCCTTCAACTGTAGAAAGAAAGTCGCTTGAGGTTGCAAACGGTATTTTTGACTTATAAGCCGTAAGCAGTTAAAATAAACTGGAACGAACAAGCAGAAGTGTCGTAAAAATTAAGATTGTCGAAAAACGAATCAAGACTGACTTCTGTTCGGTGGCTGCGGTTCACACTAATTAATAGTGGCTTAGGTACTTTTTTCTGGAATTCATTCGACTTTTCACTTCAAGGAATCGGATGGAAATGGCACCCAAGGCACTATACTGACTCAACTTAGGTTGCAATTTACATTCAATCGATACCTACCCGGGCCAGGGAATCTTGACTAAGCTGTTGGATTTTAAGACCAGATATTACTGTAATCCCCCAGTAGTAACTAGGAAGTAAATATACTTTTTGCCTGAATTCATCAGATACCTTCGCTGTCTGAAACAGACCCGCAGCAAAATGCATGTAAGGGAAGCTGGTGTGACACTACAAGCTGTCTAACCGTTCTCAATATTTCAACGAAAAACAAACACTGTTTGACAGAAATCAACCCCTTTTTCAGAATATTTCCTTTAGACTCATGATTATGCTTTGGTGCTTTGCATGTTTATAAGTTAGTAGTTGGCGGCGACGGTTGACGCCAATTAGGTATACCGTGCGGCAGTATAGGCTGGTAACCATGTAGTGGTATTTGTGTTCCCAATAAGTCTTACGAAATCACTTGAATCGAGTTATTTCTGGAAAAAGCCTTCAACAAAATGACCAAGAATTCATTAACGGTATGTCGACTTTACTTTTGGTCAGTCACTTTAGAGCACCTTATGGTACCTTTGTGAAACGGAAGACTCTTTTTAAGTAAATGTTATTATAGGCCTACGCTTACTATATATTAAACTTGTGATATATTAACAGAATTCATAGAATGACAAAAAAGAAAATTGGGGTTTTGTTCCTTTTCCCAAGAGTGTGTTATCAAATCTCTCGTAGTCGTCAGCATACGTATTCCAAAATAGCCAGGGGTTGGTTGAAGTGGGAATTGTCCGTCAAAAGCTAATAACCTGAGTCGAATTATATACAAATATCAAAACTCTGAAGATTGTAATTAACCCACAACAGAATCTAATTGAAGACTTCACATCATGTGTATCATA